TTGAGGATCGGCTTTTTGTCGGCACATCAGGGCAGTCTAGACGCGCCGCGGTCGACAAGGAAGCCTTTGTTGACCGGCGCAGGTAAACCTGGTTTCACGAGGCATACCTGTGTGGTCGACAAAGGCTTCCTTGTTGACCACAGCACGTCCAGACTGCCCAGATCTGCCGACAAACAACTGATCATCAGCTGGTCGGCATAGTGCGGCAGCCCTTTAAATTTAAATGAAGCCGCGATTATTTAAATCGCGGCTTCATTTCCCTCTGCCTATCAGCCTCATCTACATGGCTCCATCGATGGAGCCATGTTGTTTAGACACACCCTTAGAGGGCTACTCAAGGTTGAATTTAAATTTAAATGAAGCCGCGATTATTTAAATCGCGGCTTCATTTCCCTCTGCCTATCAGCCTCATCTACATGGCTCCATCGATGGAGCCATGTTGTTTAGACACACCCTTAGAGGGCTACTCAAGGTTGAGAAACTCAGAAAGGAGCTCATCCCCAGAAAGGAAAGGGTTTTTTTGGGGGGTGGAGGGGACTTAGAGGAGGGTTGGCTTGTTTTAATTTCTTTAGTAGATATTTGTCACAAGATGTAAAACTATTCAATTAATCAGCTTTGTTAGTTTGTGGTTGGTCCACAGCTGTGACTGATACTGCACTTCAGGATTGAGGGACATTGACAACACTGTGTGAAGTGATTTGAATAAACTCATGCCCACAGTATTCTAGCCCCGAGCCACACACTCCTCACACTACCTACTCCCTTATTGAGAGAAGCAATTGCTATGAATTTCCTGACCTACTTTCACTATATTTAACCTAGTGATGGACTGGCCATCACATCCGTTCACCCTCCCCTCCAAATAAAAAGAGCAGGAGAGAGAAGGACTAATTCTAATCTCTCTAGTATAGTGCCAGTGGAGATACTCTAGGCCCGGGTCTACCTTATTTTGAAATAACAAGCAGAGCATCCACACTACCAAGCCTGTTATTTCAAAATAAGGGGCTGGTTATTTCAAAATAGCAACTCCTGCTTTCCACAAGGAATAACGCTTATTTAGAAGTAGTTATTTTGAAATAGCAATAGAGTGGATGCTCCACTGCTGCTATTTTGAAATAACTATGCCCCAGAGTCAGCCAAAGTAATTACTCCCCACTGCTTCCTGGGGCTCTAAGTTTAGGTAGCACGTTCACACTAAGGGTCCATCTATACTGCACGGCTATTTTGGGGTACCAGAAGTAGCCCAGAATAGCTACCCTGTATCTACACAAGCCTCCCATTATTTCAAATTAATTTTCAAAATAACAGGTGTGCTATTTCATCATCTTGGTAAACCTCATTTCAGGAGGGATAAGGGATGGCTCGAAATAGCACGTTATTTAGACATTTGGCACTGTGTAGATCGGCCAGATTTCAAAATAAGCTATTTTGAAATTCAATTGAAATAAAATATGCAATTTGAATAATACAAATTGCATGTCTTATTTTTAGTTTAGGGTGCTATGTAGATGCACCCTAAGGGAGCATGCCTCGGACTAATTTCAAAGCTTCCCTGTAATGTGGACATGCTATTTCAAAATAGGTATTTTGGGAGTTATTTCATAACAAGTTATTTCAAAATAATTTCCTAGTGTATACCTGCCCTGGATGTACTCCATTTTTAAATTAGAATCAGGCCCAAACAGATTAACAGATTGGAGATCAATGTACTGCAGACAGCAGACTCCACCTGCCTCTGCTGCTGAAGATGTGTAAGCTTTTGCATGATCTGTGAGATCAGATTTGAATTGAGAGAGATTTATCTGGAAACAAATTAGTGATCAATATGAGACTATGTTGAGGATCTCATGGCCTGCAACATCCTCCGCCCTTTGTGAGTTCCCACAGTAGCATAATACAGGGCATGGATACAGAGCTGGTTCATTTACTTTAAGCTATATTCCACACTTCACTACTAGACTGCTTTTGATTGCTCACAAGAGCCAACTTGAATATATATGCCACCAGCTGCTTTCCATGACCTTGTTGCTCCCTTTGCCACCTCCATAGTGTTGAACTGCACTGCAGGAGCCTACAATTCCATTTGCCAACACCATCTGCTGGACCTCCTGAGCCAAGATTACCTCCCCCTAAGCCCACACCCTTTTTATCAGGGTTTCAAAGCCTGCAAACAAGTGGGTCACAGGAATTGAACAGGAAGGCTCGGAAATCTAAAGATGCTGTTCTTATTCTGGGCATCCTTCCATTCTTCCATCCTTCCAGCACATAAACCAAGTTATCTTGTGATAACCACTGTGTGGAAAGAAGGAAGGGACATTCCTTTGTGCCTCACTTTGGCTGGCATGTTTAACAGACCCAGAGGAGCTGACCATGATTCCAGTCATAGTGATGTTGTGGGGCAGTAGCCCTCCTGGTCACTCATCTTTCCACACCTCCAAGCCATTCCAAGGTAATCAGCAAACAGAGGTTAAAAGAGCAGACAGTATATGAATGGCCTTGTCTCTCTCTTTTAGCATTAGACTCAACAGTGGAGTATACCATTCGATTTATCTGTCTCTTCCACTTACACATAATATATATATGATTTGCAAGAGATTGACTACTCTTCTCTCTAGCCTCATCTTCCAGGTCTCCATTGGATAACTGAATATTTGCAGCTCCACATAGGGAAGCTCCACAATAATGGCCAATCCCTTGATAAAATGCAGAACTGGGGACCATGGCAGGACAGAAGTGGAGCTTTGGTCATAGATTCATCCATTCCAAGGCCAGATGTGACCACTCTCATCATTTAATCTTACCTCCTGTCTAACACAGGGTGAAAAATGTCCCCCAAAATATTCCTAAAGCAGATTTTTTAGAACAGCATCCAGCCTTGATTTAAAAATCGTCAGTGAAAGAAAATCCACCATGGTAAATTGGTCTAATGGAGAATTACTCTCACCATTAAAGATTATATCTCTTTTCCTGTCTGGCCCTAGGACTTTAACTCTCATCTTATTTGATAGGCCATCAGAATTGCACTCTGAGAAAAATTCCTGCCTCAGAGCTGCATCAAAGACTCTCCTAAACCAGATATCAAGGATAAGGAAAGATCCTTGACGCAGCTCAGTAGGAGAAGCTCTGCCAACTCCTGCAATATAGAAAAGAAAGAATTAAGGCATGTTACTATGGTACCCTGAGACCACCATTTTCCCCTCTTTCAATTCCCACATATTGGGAAATATCAAAGGGCTATTTTTCCTTGGTAAATCATCCTTTGGAGGGACCGTGGACTACTGATGAGAACAAATGTCCATGGCCTTGAATTCTATTCTGAGCTCTGCTTCTATTTATCAAAGACACATTGACAAACCACTGGATCGCTCTGTGACTTAGTTTACCTACCTTCATACTTCTCAAGGATGCTGAGCAGCTAAATATATGTTTGGAAAAGGTTTAAAGCTCATAAAAGTATCAAATGTGTTGGTAATACAATTTAAATATAAGATAAATCATCTGTTTGTCCATAATATAAATGCTAACTACAAATCTGCATACATATTATGCCCCCCCCCCTTCAACCAGGAACACTGTTTATAAGGCACGTAGTTTCCTTTTTTAAAGAACACAGAATCCAGACTTTATTTGGATATAATAAAATATTAGAAACAGCAGAAACTAGCCATGTAACTACTATTTTAATGAATACATACCTTAAGTAACAGTCCTCTAAGCCATTGTGTCATCTTTCAGCTCCTGTCCCTCCCTTCCCCTTTCTGCACCAAACTTGAGAAAAAGAAATATTGATTGGCAGGTACTGTAGCCGGCGTGAATAACCATGACTATATATCTTGTCAAAAATCAGCATGTACTTTAAAAAAGAAGAAAGTAAAATATGAAGATAAGAGGAATAATCTGAGACTCGCCCATATTCTCATTCAAATTTTTCTATTTAGATTTCACTATATTTCCTTTTTTAACCTCCTGCAGGTCTTTATATATAGGACAAAAAATCCACTTCTGTCATTTAAAGCATGATGAAAGTACCAAAGAAAAATCTATTTTCAGCTGTTTCTCGTTAGAGCACTTTTTTACCACTGTGATGAAAGTCGATGCAAAGAAAGAAAGACGAGTCCCTGATGAAGATGAAGAAGCATTTCTGATCAGCCATCTGTTCAACCAATTAAACCCCTCGCAGATAAAGTTGTGTGTGTGTGTGTGGCTATCATATAAAGATATATATATACACATGTGTACGCATGCAGGTACATACATATACATACTTTATAAGGTCTGCTTTGCAGCTACACAAGTCTACTTATATGCTGAACATAGCTAATTACACCTACATATAGAGAGGCCCTTCCTCTGTAACATAGAATTCGGGCCCTTTGGAGAACAAAGTCTTCTCTATTAACATCTCTTTCTTTGAATGGTCCTTGTGCAATAAAAATAAAGTCCAAACACTATAATTTTACTCACAGAAAAGTTACAAATACTGTAGGTATCTTTAGAAACAGCTGCAAAAGTGGATTCACTTCTGACAAGATTGGTGTTAATTACCAGCAAGGACTTCAGTATAATACTATTTAAATCATTTTAAATTATCCCTCTCAAAAATTAATTTTTCATCAAAGATTACACAAAAAATCATGATATCATCGCTGCAGCTGCGATTTAGTAATAATTTCATCTATTATTACCAATGTCAGTTAGATAAAAGAAAAATGGCATCCTACTGTGCTGATTCCAGCATAGGCCATATATAGAAATTTTTAACTATCACTTATAATCGCCTTGATGAGCTTAAACCTCCTCTCAATTAACACCCTAAATGACACTGAGACATCTTAATGGAGGATGTAAGTAAAGGAAAAAGACTTTAATCAAAGAATAAAAAGAGAAGTGCCAAGTGAAAGGAGGGGGTCTCATGCACCTCTCAGTGTCCAATCACACAGAAGTCCTTTATCTTGTCTTGAACTTCATGTCATCCTAATACTGCCAGTGTTACTTTGCAATAGCAGTGGGGGGGAAAAGGCTTCTGCAGTCAGGGTCCAAATGAAAGGTAAATGGTGGGTACAGTGTTGTACTATAAACCTACTACTGATATTTTTTTTAATTAATGGAGTCACAAGAAAGTAATTGTTTTCTAGACTGAAATATGGCAATTCCCATTCCTTTCTACAAGAATTAAACTTAGTGGTGAGTTCTAATCTAAACGTCCCACTCTAAATGAGAGTTATGTTGCACAGGTACTGAAAGGTGACTACACCTCAAAAGAATCAAAATGTCACAAATCCTTATAAGTATTAAGTGCACCCACAATCACTGCTATTAAGGGCTATGTTGGCATTGCTAGTCTTTATACATACTTCAGCGCATGCACACTAATACATACTCACACCTGGGCTTTAAAACTGAGCTCTGAAATTTGGACAAGGTTGAAACTTAGGTCTTCTTTGAAGTTGTATTATATGTAAGAATAATATTTGTATGCACTTTTGTGTTGGTGAGGTGGATAGTGCTGGAGGCATTTCATAGCAGAGGCAGACAGAATGGGTCCAGGAGTGCTGGAGGAGCATCCTTAAAGAGGGTAGAATGCCTTCACTCTGACAGTTCCTGCCTCTAGCCCTCAGGGAGTCTATGGTGCCACACACCCAGTAGGGATGATGGCAGTACTATGCCTCTCTTGGACCTTGTGCTCAGGTACAACAAGCAGCAGGATTCTGGCATCTTGTGAGTGACATCCTCCTTTGCATATTTCCATAGCAAGAGCCAAAATCTGTCCCCTGGTCCATATAAATAATGCCCCTTTAATCCCGGGGGCACTATTTTATTTGTAATATTCTTTTCACTATATCTATGTGAATATTGAAAAGATGATCCTTTACTTGTGTGTATACCCATTTATAGGTAGATTTCTAAAACAACTGTTTTAGCCATTTTCAAAGTAGCCAGAGTGCAAACACAGATCACAAGTTTGCTGTTTCTAGATTCTTTTTGTCGCTCTTTCTGTGATGTATGGAAATAAGTATTCTTTCATACCCTGATATTTTTCAGTTAATTCATTCACAATTAGAAACAAATTAATATCTAAGTATGTTAAGAGTAAAAACAAAGCCAAATCAACCAAGGTATGTGTTTTTTAAAGTTTTTATTTACCTATTAGAACTTAACAAGCTATCAGCTACTAATAATATCAGTTAAGGATTTACCCAAGTTTGATTAGCAAAACATTTGCAAACTGATCCTGACAATTTATTATTTGTGAGCATTTGCTGAATAGTGTAGCCAATCATTTTCAGGTGGACTATTTACTTCAACTACTTGTTAGTCACTGTTATTCATGCTATGTGTTTAATATTGGTATGACACGTATAAGTGATAGTAAGAATCAGTTTTAGTGCTTCACTCTTACCAGGACAAAGAAAAGAAAGGCCTAGACCTTTGACACATTACAGGATTTGTAATCATTGACATCAGCTGCTGTTCTTACAGTGAGGTTGGCCACACTCACATGATAGTGTTTCTTCTCTCTCATTGGATGATTGAAACATTTTAGACACATGCATAACAAATACAAAATAATAAGCAATGAAATGTGCACTTTAAAGGAGATTTATTTAACTGTTCAGTCATTCTTGCTAAAATCTGTAAAACATTCAGCATTTCCAAATATTTTTACTGTTCTCTGGTGACTGAGAAGTCACAGGAGATTAATATAAGTATAACCTATCTGATCTGGGTCTCTCTGGTCTGGTAGGACCATGTAGAGTCCAGCAGCCCTGGGTCTGGCCCCAAAGCCCTAGTGGACCCAGAGCAGCTAAGTCCCGGCAGCCCTGGGGCTGGTTACAGAGCCCTAACAGCCACAGAGCAGCAGATCCCTGGTGGCTTTGGGGCAGTGGAGCTCCAGCGGCCATGGGAGCCCAATGATCTGGGGCAGGAGAGCCTGGCTATCTGCTGACAGATGCTGGGAGAGCCCAGAGTCTGTCAGCAGGGGGGCTGACCTTTCCTAGTCTGGCAAACTCCTTCCTTCAGGACTGGCCAGTTCCCACGGGTGCTGGACCAGGGAGGTCCAAATTTTAATAGGTCTCTATGAATTGCAGAAAACCAACTTCAGCACTTTAATTCCCCAAAATGCGAGTGGTTCACTTTTTTCCCCCAGCAAGTTCTATTGTCCATACACATTTCTTCTTTAAATTTACATTTGCAAAGAATGGGTTTTGTGCACAGATCATGCAAGGTAGTAACCAAACAATTCATTCAATTAAAAATCCTGAAATATTCATTGGTCTGGAGCCTCACATTCTATCAGTTTATGAGAGAAATTAAGTTAACAGCTTTGCAGAAATAAAATATCTTGCATGGCATCAGAAAGGTCGGCTGCTGCGGCTATATCCCACCAAAGAGGCACTAAGGCAGGGTAGTTGCTTATGAATGTATTGCCACATCATCAAACCTACTGTCTTAAAGGCAACAATCCTCCTTGTGTGTGATGGTAGAGAATGGATTCTTATCTGGCAGGAAAACCCCAAATGCATTGTTTTATTTACAAGTACAACTCTGTGTGTGGACATACATATTAGTTTAGACCCAGGAAAATCATGTTTAAACCCATGTTAGTGTTCACATACAGTTCAACTAAATCGGAGAAACTTCTGCATTTGGACAAACCTAAGACATCTGCACTCAGACTGAGGTTCTGAGTAAACATTAGGACACCTGCGTTAGCTGGTAACTATCACGGACAAGTTATCAACAGAGTTGAACATCTTTATGGTGGGAATAAAATAAAATAGCATGACATGTAAGCATGGTTAATTCTTAAGTTTTGGTGGCATAGCTATGCCAGCAAATCCTTTCTAGTGTAGACCAGGTGAAAGCATTTACTGGGGGTCTTTGGAATTTGAAGACAGGGCTGTGTTTCAATAGATGCCATGAAGCAGGGCTAGATGCCATAGGTATAACTAGTGCTTCTTTTGCTATTGTAACCACTGTTGTTCAAGAATAAAAAGAATCCTCTATATACTGTTGTGACAGGGCGCTCGCCCTGCACTGGCCCTTTAAGGGCAGACCCCGACCTGAACCAGGGCCGGGGAGTTTAGCCCAGCTGAGGCTGTACTAGTCCATTAGGGCCCAGCTGGGAGCTATAATAGAGGATGGGCTGCTGCTGTGAAAGGGGGAGCAGTGAGAACCTGGCTGCGGAGGGAGGAGGAGGCTCCCTGGAGCTAGGGCAGGGCTGGGGGAGGCCAGGCAGGGCTAGGGGAGCTCTGGCCAGCAAATCCTCAGACTGCAGGGCTTGAAAGAAGGCCCGATGAAGGAACATCGACCCCCGGAAGGGGGGCTCAGAGACAGACTTGGGCACTGCCGGAGGGCAGTGTGGCAAAGAGGACGCCGCAGCCGGGAGTAAAGAGGGGAGACATCACCCCAGAGAAGGCACCCTACCCGCCGAGGGAGCCAATTCCTGAGGACAGACGGCAGGGGGGTTACAGTGGTGAGAGCACCCCCCCCTCACAACTGTGAATAAAAATGATCTAAAATGAATACCCTGAGTCTGTGTCCACTTGCATTTTTTCAAAGCCATTGAAACCGTCAGATTAACCAAAACAAGTGATGAAAAGTGAAAGGAGATTTGCCATGTGTATTTCTCACTAATCAGGTACTAAAGACACCTGTATTCTGGGTCCACCATAGAAAATATATTATTAAATACTTTTTTAAATGGAAAGTATCACAAATGGTATGTAGATTCCTGCAGCATTTTTGCAGAAAGTTCTCTTATTCTGCAACTAAATTGTGGGAAAGTAAATCAGAAATTCAGATGGTTTTTAAATAAAACACTAAGGCTACGTCTACATTACAAGGCTTTTG